ATGCTATGTGCAGTGTAAGACACTCCAGGGTGGCATTCTCTGGGTGAAAATTAAAAGCATATTTGTAAGGTGATTAGCTGGATTTGTCAAAATAAACAAGCCTGTCTATATTCCTCTGATATTCCTTTGTAAATCTGCTTCAGCAAAACTAAAGTACTTCCATAAAACATAAAAATATGCATCTTTAAATATAGGAAACTAAGAAAAGCCTTGCTATTTATAGGCATCGATGAAATCAGATAAACATGCATGATCAAATTCATCCAAAACAAAGGAATTGAGAACCCTAAACATAAAAAGCAAATCACTAGGAAGTTAGGAAGATGAGGTTGCTCTATACCAAAAGTTTTATTTGTTTAAGTCCATGTACATTTATTTCTTTTTTTACAGGGTTGATTTTTCACTTTCCAATTCCCCTTAGCCAAAATATAAAACTTACTTCTTGGCTTATTTATTCAGTCATTTAAAAACATATATGGAAACTCATATTACTAACTATTCTCTTCTCATTTATGTAAATCTATTTATATTAAGATACCAGAACATTAAAGAAATGCAGCTTTATAAAGCTCTGACACATGGGGGATTGCCTCCCCCTAAAGAACGTTAGTAATTATTGCAACTAGAAAATTCCAAACAGAACTGTTATCTTTATATTCTCATTTCTTCTATTTTACTTGGTATTCAAACTCTTTATAGTTCTGTTAATAAGTGATAGTTGAGAGCAGCTTTCTGGTCAATTGACCCAATTCAAGTAGTAGCATGGAGTTTGTTCATGTATGCTTGTTTGTGTACTCTTTGTACCCGAAACAGAAACTCCTAAGTACTCAGGGGCATTTTCAAAAAGCAATCTCTTTAAAACACTTTCACATACAAAATCCTTAGTTTCCATTCCTTGAATGTTATTCAAAAGCAACTGTTTTTTTAATTACTTAAGACAACTACATTCCAATATGAGTACTCCTAAAAAAACCAAAAGTAATGAGTGAAAGTGGCAACCAAAGCCTTTAATTTGTCTAGCAGCTTAAACCACTGATTGATATTATCTACCAGCTTACTCTAACTGGCACTAGAAAGTGTCTAGAAAGATTTACAATTATGGCAAGAGAAGAAATATCCTGCTAGATTTGTAAGACTTAGGGGAATCTTTAATAATGATAATTCCATATATTTCCAAGGCATAGCATGGTGGTTAACACTTAGACATACATGATACCCTTTCTTTAGAATCACACATAACTATTCTATTTTTTTTAAATGATTCTCTGGAATTCTGAGAGGTCAAGTGCAGTGTCAAAGGTCACAAGGCCAGTAACTAACAAAGTCTGAAGAACATCTCAGGCCCTCTGACTCAGCCCAGAAGTCTACAGTGCCTTAATGTCTCAGAGACATCCTCTTTGAGATTCCTGATACGACTAATGGAAATAGGATTGGAATTTAATAATAAAAATGCTGACAGGAATTTAACTATAGCTGCCCAAATGGTACCATTATAATTATGCTTTATGATTTGAACATCATCAGAAAACTTGCTAATTTTAAATTTTACTAATCAACACTTCTTTGATTGCCATAAATTATAGAGTGTTCTGCTTTGTAAAACCACAAGATTTATCAAACTCCAAATATCATATCTGTTGTAAGACAAAGTATACTCCAAATATTTCAGTGTATAACTGATTAATTTAAGATTTATATTTCAGAATCTTTTAATCTTCCAAAATGTTTTATCTATTAGTCAACCAAAATCATGCTGATTTCTTCAAATATATTGCAAACATAATAAATTTTCCATTTAAGCTTTTTCCTAGTTATAGGAATACTGTCACTATATGTCTGCTAAATTTCCTGACTTTGCTGAAGCAACTGGTCAGGAAACAAAATTAGTAGCTTCCATATTCATAAATGGTATTTCTTCTTTTTTTCCCCAATTTTTCTAATCTAACCACATAACTTGGGCTGACAATATAGCAATAAAATAGAAGAATAGATATTATATTTTATATTACTCATTGCCTTCATGTTTAAATGCTTTCCTATTAAGCAAAGCTTTTTATTATTGATTTGTAGGATACTTAAGAAAAATGCTATAACCTGCCATGGTTACATAATCCTCTTCCTAAAGAAAGTAACAGGTTATAGGAGCCATTAAAATGATTGAAACTATCTTTCCTAATGTGAGTATAGGCAGTCTTCAAGTAAAAGGATAGTAATTACATATTTTTTTTTCATGATCAGTATCTTTTTATACAGACTTCCTTTTCCATTTTGCTATTTTTCCATCTTCTACTTAGATTAGGAAACCTGAGAATATGCCCAGTTTGGTAACATATGTGTGGCTTAAGTCAGAAAACAACTGAGGAAGTCATTTATAAAATATTAAAATAAGGGATACTGGAAAAAGAATTGCAGGCTATATTTCTGCACATAGTTGAAGACTAACAGCCTGGAAGCAGCCGTTGTGTTACCCTGACCCCTGAAGGAAGGAATCAGGAGTTAACTTCACATTCAATTTCCTACACAATATAAACACCAAACCTCCAAATCCACTAGCACAATATATCAATGTTTGGGCATGTCCTGCTGAAATAAGAAAGTCACCTCAAATATCAGACCTCAAAATTTCATTCTACAATTCCACCATTCTGATGTGAGGTGAGCAAACGTTTTCAAAGTTTCTTAGTGGGTGTCTAGATCCTGCACCTGACTCTGTAAGATTGTAAGGAAATGGACAATGAGATATAAATGAAAAACAGAAAGAATCATCTCATCTCCCTGAAAGAAAAGTCATTTAGCTTTCTTTGTAAAATAAATGTAAAAGAACTTAGGATATAGCACAAGTGGATGATAAGCTGCAATTGAAGAGGGTTAGAATGTCAGCAGTTTCAATTTTTGTTGAATGTGTGATCTGTTGAAAGGAAACAACAGATCCTAAAACAGCAGAAGGCCAAAAGAAGCTGATGTGCTCCTGCTTTTAAAAAAACCAGAGTTCCAAATTAAGCCTGAGGAAAAAATGACATTTTATTCTGCAGTATTCCTTCCTCTGTACAGTGAGCACAGTACATTTACCTCATCTCATGGTTAAAAGTCTCTGGCGACTGCAACATGTCTTTTAAAGCATTTGATAAGTAAAACTTGAAAATAGACTGCTTTTTATTTATGGCATTCATAATAATAATGAATTTGATGCCATTTATCTTTTAATTCAATAGGATAGTGTTACCTTTAAAGGTTTTTACTTCTCTTTTCCCAGAGGGTTAAAATGGCCCAGAAAGAGGTTGTCATGGCAAAGATAAAGGTACAAAGCGCTCATTTCTGACACACCATGGAAACAATCATCATTTTTTAATGAGAGAACCACCAGACTGAAATCTGCACCAAGCTCTACCAGAAAAAAATACAAGAGAGGACACTAAATTGTCATTACGTACACAGTCTTCATTTCAATGGGTTTAACTTTCCACTCAGTTCGGGTCACATATTTCAATCATAGGAAAAAGATCTATGACCTTGGCTGGAATCATCAGCCCCAGTCACTCAATGGGACACTTGTGAAACATTGCGGACACATTTTGACTCTCCATGGGTGTGGCTAAAATTGCTCCTGTCCAGCCCAAAGCTTACATGATCTGTGCTATCCCTCAGAAACTCACTGAGAAAACTCCTGCTAAATTCGCCGCAGAGATCAAGGTTTACAGGACCCTGGAGCTAATCTCTATCTGCCCTCCTCCTCTGTTAGCTGTTACAAGCCTTCAAAAGTTAACAGGGTGATGGAGCCTTTCTCTATACAATCATTTCATCTCACTATCATTGACTGAAACTCACTGATGTAATGAAGTTACATAATCACCGATTATGCACGACTTCCATCCATCTTCCTACATATCCACATATCTTATCCCCTCCCCTTTGGATCAATCTACCAGGTGAGATTTATAACACATGTAAATGCTCCATTCTCTCATCATAGGTACTGAATATGGGACTTTAGCATTGCAGTACAGTGCACTGAACCACGTCATCAATATCGATTTTTTAACCCATTTCTCAGGCAGAATATGCTTAGCATCCTTAGTGCTCTAGTCTCTAACTTTTCACCAAAAAGGTAAAATAGCAGACAGGACACATCTTCAACTTAAGGTTAAGGGAAGTGTGTAATTGCCTGCATTTCCCAAGCTGGCTGCATTGCAATAATAGGATCCTCTCTGCTTTCAGACCTTTGACTCCCCTGCACGTGGGTCGCAGCTTCAGCTATTTAGGATACTGGGCAAATAATTACATTATTGGGCAATTGAACTTGAGAAAGAAAGCGCTATAGTGATATTTAAGATAACATCGCCCTCTTCTTCTGTATTTTAGTCATCATTTTCAGGTTTTTTTCCCCTTTTTTTCCCCTTTCACTCCGAGTGATATTCCAATAGATAGAAAAGTAGTGCGGGGCACTTAATAATCTCCAGTAACCACAACCCAGAGAACAATTAACAATGATTATCACCTTAAAGTTTAGGAACTTGACAAGTGGGATGTCCGTGGTCCCATTGCGGCTGTGAAATGCAGCAGAATGCTGCACTGAGTGGAAAACATATTTCTTTTAATGAATAAAGAGTAGGTTGTTTCATTTTAAATGGGGCTCTTCACTTAGTGTTCCTTTTACTGCTGCTACCCCTTCAGAACACAGGAGCCACAATTATTGCATCCAAACAAAGAGTGTCTACCCAGAATTAATTCAAAACACTCTTCTATATCAAAATAATTGGGGGGAGGAAGAGTGATGCTTTGATTTATTTTCAATTATACTCAGAATACAGGCACACGTACATACACACACGCACATGCACACACACCAACACACCCAACTGCAGTTATTCCATTCAGTGCCAATAACAGCCACATCACAGCCATCAATGCGATGCAGCAATCATCCAAGTCACCCATTCCTATTACAAATGCCCAAGTTTGCTCACACCACTGATGGCTTTGCATATATAAAATGACCTTACCCACAACAGTCTTCCAAATTATTCTCCTCTGGATATCAGTGGGTAAGGTAATTGCTGGTCATCACAATGCGTATTCAGAAAAATCCACGTTTTACTCCTGTGTTCTTTTTCTTGTTTTTGCTAGCAATTAATATCATGAACAAGATACCCATTCACAAATGCCAAGTTCACCATAAAAGCAGATAATTCCATACAGATCTTCCCTACAAGACTGTCTCCAGTTAGTTCTCAAAGTGCCCGATTGTTTGGTGAAGATACAATCCAGGTGCAGAGCAGGGGCGGGGGGGAAGACTAGGAGAAAAAAAGAAGAGGCAGATAGAAAAGGAGAGACTGAGAGAGAAGAGAGCATAAAAAAGAGAGGGGGGAAATAAAAAAAAAATTTAAAAAAGAAGGAAGGAAAAAGGCTGATAAGTGAGGAAGTCTGTGAGCTCTATGACAAGAATCGGAGTCTTGCTTGCAAATCTTCTGGATACATGTAGTCGTTCAAATCTTCCTGGTCCCCAAGTAAAATTTCCAAATCCGGGATGCAGCCATAAGAAAGAATCCTATGTATATTTCACAAGTATCCCGCAATAACAGATCCGACGGGGTTTTCCTTGTACAGTACTGCTATGTGAAAGCACACAACCCCTGCTGTTTGGGAAGGTGTCTCCTGGGTCCTAGCTCTCTTCAGCAGCCCCCAAAAATGATTTTTCAAAAGAGAGTGGGGGGAAAAAAGCAGCTTTGCGTTTGTCTTGAATGATGCTAATCCTGAGCGAAAACGACAAGCAAACCACGAACAGCACGAGATCTTGACTAATAGACACAATCCCCTCAAAATATCCCAGAGAAGAAGGAGCAAAAACAAGAAAGAGAAACTGCAATGCATAAATGATTCCAGTGTTTCTACAAGATCGGTTCATTTGATTGAATGCATTCTCTGGTTTGCTGCAAGTCATAAAGAGGATAGTATTACTGCCACCCAATGGATATTTTAGTACTAGCCAATCCACAGACAGCCACCGCTTTGCGAGTTTTAGTTTGCAGAAGACCGAAGAGGAAGGAGGGTAGCCTGGGAATCTTTTGGAAAAGACCCTAGGATGTATAGAATAAGGGGAATCCGTCCTTCCAGGCAAAGCGGACCCGGAAATTTGGATGCTTACCCAGTCTTGCGTTAGTCACCTTAGAATTATGGTTCCATTTCTCTAGGAAGCAGAAAGGTACAAAGAGCGATGCTTAGGCTGACACTCATAATAACCTCCTTTTCATTTCTTCTCTTTCAAGCGGATTTATATTGCGCGCGATCGCTCAGTCTGATTCTGAGTATCACTTTAAGACGGATTTCGAAAGGGAGGGGAGCGCAGGGGCTGCTCCAAATCTCAGGTGGCAAGGTGATAATTGTTTCTAAAGGGCAGTTTTGCAAAGTGCTTGTGTCTGTATTGGTATGTAAACTGTGAGTCCTTCGGGCAGCAACCCTCCCCCTTGCTGTTTCAGTTTGGGGAGGAGCAAAAATCGTCCCTAAGAGAGTGGGGCTTGGAAGAAGAGTGCTTGTGGAAGGCTCACTGGGAGTGGGGGGTAGGGAGGTGGGATGAGGAGCTGAGAGGAGGGGGTTGAAGAGGATCGTCCTCCCACCCACCGTGTAATAGCGTTCCTTACAAAAGAGTTCAGTTCTCTGCGGTTTTCTAAAATGGATTTGTGATGAAGAAAGACGGACAAAGTACTGGTAAATAAATTAGGATATTGGCTCAGTTTAAGGTCCTCGCCCTTTTACCTTGGGATAGTACACTATACACATTTGATTCTGTGCTTCTCAAAGTTTAATGTATGGAGATCACCAGGGTGTCTCTTTAAAATGCAGATTCTGACTCAATAGGTCTGAAGGGAAATCTGAGAGTTTTTGTCTCTGATAAACTGGTTGGTGGACAATAATAATGCGGTGGGACTACGGACTACACTTGTCATAGCAAGAACCTAGGGAAGTGTTCATATTTACACTGCCCCCACAGTGATTGGATCTGATGGAGAAGTAGGCAGGGCAGAAAGGGTAGGGAAATGCATTTCCAGTCGCCATCTCCATCTCCTTCCCACCCTTTAACATTTCCAGTAACCCCTCCTGCAGTTCCCATTCTTAAAAACCTTAATCCACTTTCCAATGTATTCCACAAATTTTTATAAGGGAAGCATTAACAGGATAAACCAAAAACAGAAGTATAGGCAAAAACAGCCTTGGCCCTTGAGAATTTAATACATCTTCATTAAATTTAGGGACTAAGACACAAGTTGAAGATGAAGGAAACATTTGCAATAATTAGGTAATATGTGACCTAAACTAACTGCAAGCTAAGTTGGGACACAGGTGAGGATGAATGAGGGTTGGTATTCTAGAAAGGGAGGAAATCTGCATTTTGAAAGAATGTACATTAAACTAAACTTTCCAATCCAAGCAGAGGGAAGATGTGGTTAAAGTGTGCAGGAAAGTGTTACATGATTTCTCTGAAGGAACTCACCCAGATTAACCTCCTGTGTTCTCTTATAACTGATCCTTTCCAACATGCTATAAGTCAGTAATATGAAGACAAGAGGTAAAAAGGAATTCCTCTCCCAGTGAGTGATCCATATTTTCTACACCTTCTAGCATAGACCTTTTGCTGACCAACTTAAGTGAAGAACTAGACCTCAAATAGACTGGAGGGACACGATTAACAAAAGTTGCTTGAGTAAAAGTCCTGGACTGTAGGCTCAAATCCTATATTTGAGTCTAAACCCTACTTCTAAGTAGCTGTAATTACCCATGGGGATCACTAATTTTTCTTAGCTTCTGTTTCCTTGTCTATAAAACAACATCTGAAAACTGTTGCCAAACTGTATTCCAGTTCCATAAGGGTCAAAATTCAGTCCTCTATCTGCAGTGCTTCTGCAAGTCAGTTTGTTAATCTACACAGAGCATGCATTGAAACTGGTACCTTCACATGGGCTGCAGAGAGCATCTATTGCCTTAAAGACACAGGTGAACATTTGACCATTTCAATCCTAATGCTAGAGATGAGTTAAAATGCTTTCTCTTCAGATCCAGAAAGGGAAGTGTTTGTTTGAATGGGAGGTGAAGCATTGTCTATTCCTGGATCCTACAGAGCCAACTGTGGGCCTCGCTGTTTGTTGCCATGGGATCCTCTTTGTGCGAACTGTCTTGAACTGTGTGGGAACATTTTCCTCTTGCCTCCCTTCAGCTCCCTCTCTAACTCTTCTGAAGATGTGTGTCAGAACAAGATGTAGCTGCATTATTGCCAATTAAGACTAACAGCAGCTGCAAGGTGCATCTAATTAAGAATTTTAATTACTTCATGGAATTCTCATTTGCAGATGTTTATAGCTTTAAACAATGCATTGTAATTTTATTTTAAAATATGAAGAAAGCTGACCTCCCTCCAAAAGGGGAAGAAGTATAGGATTCAATCATGGGTGTTAAAAAATAAAGCCTTTGACATGGGAAGTATATATATATATATATATATACTGACACATTATTTGACAATATGCAACATTATATTCAGGATAAAGAAATAATGTGCATATCCAAAAGTAGGCTTTTTTTCCTAAATGAAAAAGCAAGTAAATATCAAAACACAAAAAAATTAATAATTTGCTACTCAAGTAGGAACCTTGTAGGTTGCATAGTTCTCAAATGTACTGTTCTTTTCTTTGCCAGTAACAGTATAGTTAATAGTAAGTTTGGCACAGCAGTATGGGGATTGTAGGCTGCAATGCAAAGCATTATGGGGTTTGTAGTAAAAACTGGCTGCAGATCAATCCATGCTTGGAGCTTTTCTCTGTTGAAGAAAGTGCTCTTTTATTCTCTGATAATAAGAAAGAAGAGTACCATGATATTTTACATCAGATTAACGAAATGAAGTTGGTACTACTAGAGTTTAGCTACAATAATATTCTGACTGAGGAGGAGAATATAATAACATCTACTTTATAAGCCACAAAATAACCTGAGTGAGCTATTCCCTAATATTACTTTATGATAGCTGAGGTTTAAAAACTACATTCATTGTTTTAGTAGTAAAAAAGCAAAGACCTATTGAATTTGGTGTTTATGAAAGAGAATTGTGAACATAGGAAATGAACTCAAATTCTTATTGATTTTACCTTTAGAAATTGGTAGCCTAAGTTTAACTTTCCACACTTCACATCATTCCCCAGTGAAGTAGAAGAGAGTTTTATTTGACCTACCTTTTTTAAGTATATTGTTACATAAAATTGCTCTGAATATTCAGAGAAGCTTTTTTTATAATGAACTCTTTAAGGTTAGAATATCCTCTAGGCTTGAAAATATGTCTAGAGTGGGTTTTTTCATTCAATTTGAGTTTAATTAATTTTGGATAGAAATATATATAAATTAAGAAGTTGTAATTCAGTTTGTTTTTGTATGCAGATGATTCTATGTAAATAAATATACAATTTACAGAAGTTTTGATTTAACTCTGTTGGCAATTTATTTCAAAGTTCATTAAACATTTTTGTGTGATGTGAATTAAAGTCTAGCTCCTCAGAAATGCTGCATGAAATCAGCCCCCTTTTGTTATGAAGGCTAAAATACACCTCTTCAAAGTCTCTCCCATCTGTGAAAGTCCCCATTATCATGCTAAGTTACTTAGGTGTTTTATACCTGAGGTTGCTTTTTTTCTCTTTCTCTCCTTAAAGAGGCCTCTATCCACAAAAAGCCTCCATAAAGCAAACTATTATTACAGACATGAATAAATGCAAAATCAAGTACCCTTCATTTTCAGGCCTTTTGCCAGCGAAATTCATTTGAACCCACCACCACATATTCTCAAATGAGGTACAGACAAAGACTTGAGCATTTCAGCAAAATTCCACCATAAAGTTCAGGAATAATAAAGATTGCTATGAAAAAGCAAACAGCAACAGGAAAGAAAAATGCCATGCCTGCTTTTCTTTCAGATTTCTAAGTTTTGAATCATAAAAATATACAAATATATATCTTCTTGAATGCAGTTTACATTATTGTTCATACTGTGAATATTTCTTTTATGGTCATAAAAATAAAAGCAATGCCCCAAATGAAACACTATGTACATAAGCGATGCAAATGCATCCCCGGTGGAAAGCCGGCTGGCTGCTGGTGGGAGGGTATATTTATACAGTGCCTTTCATTTGGAAGGTTCCCAAAATGATTTGCAAACTGTATGTAGAGGAATTGCTCACCATGGAAATTCACCCACTTCCAGGAGAGAATGCAGAAGTCATTCCATGCTGACAATCAGTTTAAATAAAACCACAGAACAGTATTTCATGTGGGTAAAATATTAATATTATAATTGATTTGAAAAATGTGCACCAAAAACCCACTATGTGCCAGGCATTGTTCAAGGTACTGGGGGTATTGTTGTCATTATATCTAGTTAGGTTCCCTGCTTTTCTAAAGCTTATATTTTATTGAAATCTGACCCCAGAACTTTGGAGTTAAAAGCCCTGTTTCCTGGTGAATTTCTGATCTCTGCATATAGTTCTACTGAAATAGAACACTTGCTACTTTTTTGTGTTTATTTATATCGGGATTCATGATATCCAGGACACATGACCTATGGTAATACCTTCCACTTTAGATTGAATACACAAAAAATAGCTTCAGATATATGGTTGAAGCGGATAATACAGCAATAACATTTCCTTCGCTGAATGATTTGGGAAGTGGTAGGATAGAATTCATACTCTTCTGGGTTTTGTAAATTAAATGAAATAGTATTGATGTAAATATATGGAAGATTGCTTCCTCTGAAGTTATTCAGGGCACTTCATGGTGATTAAGGCATAAAAAATAGTTTGGTGAAGGACAAGAACAGTGTGAACAAATGTTTCAGAGTATAAAGTATAGAATCAAATTACAGTGTCTCCTAAATTAACC